CATGTTTTCGAATCAAACACAGAGATAGAACCGGCATTATCATATTATGCTCAAAGAGGTATAAAACTCCAAAATTGCTACTGAAGGCGACAGTCAGACACACGCCAATCTTCTGAACACCTGAGGCTTGGGCCGATTCGTGGCCAGTTCCTATTTCCGGTCATCAAGTTACAGTTGGTCGTTGTTGATGAACGATTGTGAAATATTACGAAGTGAGAATTAGTGGAATAATAATAGTTTTTCTTTCGAAAATACATATTATCGTATTCGCGTTGTAAAATATATTCTGGGAAGCGCAGTTTCACAGAGTGGAGGTCGTGCCCCCCTCCCCCGCTCCGTCGGAAAGGGGGCGCTTAAATTTTAAAAAGGGGCGGACAATATTAAATTAAGCCACGTTTATGAGTGGAGAGGCTGCAACTTCATTCACATCGAGGAAGCCTCCGTCCAAAAGACTTGGTGAACTAACAACTGCTCTAATATTTTATATTTTACTTCCAAGCTCCACATCGCCGTCAAAAGTGCAGGATCTGAAGATTCTTTTGGAGTTTCGCCGTTTCTTCTGGGAACCAAATGAGAGCCAGAAGAAAGCTGCTCCTCGCTGAACGTTCGAGCGTGTGTACCCACTCGCTCGCTCACCACGACTCTGTAAACGGCTAAGCTGCTTTGCCTAACGAGTTCGACCTTGAATGTGCGTTAGTTACATCTTCGTCGTGGATGTTACTCGTACACAAGCCAATGTTCCAGAAGCTTCGATCGCGTCGCATAAAAGTTTGATCTTCGCGCTAAATCGAGCGTTCTTTGTCTTTTTACAAATTAAAATGTTGGATGCGAACAATCTGAACTTTGTCGGAAACGTTTGCAATTCCAAGGAAACAGCAAACAGGAAAGAGCAAGGCGGATCGCAAATGGCGATGAATATTAAGCGGCCTGACCGAGGTAAATAAATCAGGCGAGGCGAAACCTCTCCGAGCTTCGTGACCGGATGTGATCTGTCAGATCTCAGCCACGGCCTAAGTTTATTCAAACGAATTTTACTCTAACGGGGTTCATGCTGTAATTTGCAATGCCTTAAAATAGACCACGGCAACTATCTAGTTCTCTGCTAACACACCGTCGCCACCATCGCCACATCCTCATTGATTATGGACAGTCGTCAGACACGCGAAACGATGTCCTTTAAGGGGGCAATCCTTTGTTGCAGATGTGGGAGAACTGTCAACACGACTCAGCCTTTTGCTGCCAGCAGTCCGTCCTGAAGAAGAAGCTGTTCAGGCCGAATGCTGCAACAGTTCCAGTCAGTGCGTCTATCTGGAGCAGCTGCTGGGTATGAACACAAGTGACGAAACTCATTCCACCAATCGCCCGCCTCCTTGAAGTAGCAGGGCCCTTCAGAGAAAGCCAACCCAGCGGCGTAAAAACTTAATAGACCCTAAAATTACGAAAGGTCTCAGGCAACTTCCAACCTCTTACTCGCGTATTTAGCCGCTGCGATCGGCTTTCACATTTTCCCGGTGAGGATCCAAAACTTCCGCAGAATTTACGCTCAATTCGCCTTTTGTCTGCAATGGGCGAGTTCTAAGAAAGTCCGGAGGCGCTCTGATGACAGAGACCGAGACCTTCGGCTCGCGACCACGCGACCCCAAATTTCGCGGGTACCGAAGAAGCCCCTGACACGACATTGCACCTCGGCTTGGTATATGAAATGTTTAATTAAGCTGATCAACTTCTTTCTTTCAAACAGAAAATTCGGAATTTCTGTTGAAGGCGAAGTTGAAGCAGGGTCGCCAACCTTGTACAGTTTATAAATAATTGAACCCCCCCCCGCCCCCACAAATCCCAGGTGGACATGAAGCCCACTTTGATGTGACACGTGTACGTATTGTACAGACCGCAGAGGGGGCGATGTTCCCAGAAAGCTGCAACGTGGCCGCACTTTGGTGTGCGCGCTGGAGGACAACGAGGCCACAGACCAGTTGGGGCTTTGAGTGGACCGACGTTCCAGTCGGTAATCAAATCAATGACAGAAAAATTACTCGGAGGTAACACGTAAAAGCTCTTAAGGCCAAGGCCTTAAGAGCATTCCTATTAAAAAGTGAGCAGTTAATTTCTAACATTAAAGCACTCGTTGGGTCAATCATGCCTTACGCCTGCCCACCTGGAAGTTTGGGGCGGAGGCCCATCTTCTGCTCTAGTTATAAAAAATATTGTTACTAATTCGTTAATACCACAAACCACACCATAATTCTAATTGTTGTTCTGTTACAACAATTACTTCTATTTAGTGTTCTGTCTGACGACAGGTCCATATGAACAGGATCCTTCCATCCTTTTCTCTTCTCGGACTGGGACCTGTTCATATACGTTCTTGGCAGATGATCCAGAAGTGGTTTGCCATTGCCTTCTTCTGTGTGTGAATGGAGTAATTGTTGGGATGCCACGAAGGAAAACTCCGTGTTGCCTAGACCACGGCCTTGCCCAACACAAGTTATAAATTGGAACCCGAGACCCCAGGATTACAAGGCCAGCGTTCTAACCGCTAGACCACCGTGGCTATGTTACAACAATTACTATTGCTTAAGAATTGTTTATCTCTTCGAACTGTGCAAATTTTCTCTCACCGTTCGATTTAAAGAGGAATTTGAGGAACTTTTCCTTAAGTCTGTGTCTTCATTTCACTGTGATGAGGTTTACTTATAAAAATACGTGCGTCAAATTCTGGGAAGTGAGGTTATGTCATTCAATAAAATGTCGCTGTTTTCATTTTTCAGCGCGCAAACAGCAATCAGAAGAAGGAGCAGGAAACGGGAACGTGTACATTGATCGGGAAGTCGTGGCTGGCCATCGAGAGTGAGTTCTCTGTTGACAAAGCCGTCATGTGACGACTCAAAGGATTGCGTCTTTCCCGTGTGACTATTTGTTGATGACGACGTGTCCCCGGAACTCTTAAGAAAGAGCTTGAGGAATGCAGTGAATTTTGTTGTGTAAATTAGGAAACATCAGACCATCTCGAACCCGTTGCTTCAGCGGAAGCCAAAAGTTAAAGAAAAAATGCAAACGAAGTTTTTGCGTGCAATCCCCAAATGGAGGAACATTTATCAGTTTGATTCGATCGCGCCATTCAGATGAAATTGTCGAAACACTTCACGGTCTTCAGCTCGAAGTATATTCGAAACTTACAGAACTCAGTCACGTCTTATTAAAATTCAATGTTGCGTTTAGGACCGTCTCATACTTTGTTTCTGTATTAAATATTTCGATAATTATTATTCCAGTAGTGTAGAAGTTTTGCTTTGGGTAAATCAGTTTTTAACCAGTTATTTATAAATAAATGTTTATTTTATATAATGGAAGATCTTCGTGGAATCTCTGTCTAAAATAAGAGTCGTGAAAATGCTGCCTACAAACTGGACGACGAGGATTTGATCTCTGACGGGGGCAGAGAACTTTTCCTCTAGCATCTGCGTCCAGACTGGCTCTGGGGTCCACGCAGCCTCCTGTCCAATGGGCTCCAGGCCCCTTCGCAAGTAACAGCCCCAAAATGGGGCTGCAAACCGATCCTTGGATTGACGGAAAATAATATTTCTATTGAATTACTATGGAAATGTCAGTATTTTGTTTTTGGATGAGAAAACTGAATATTTCCATATAAATTATCTCGTCAAATGAATTAATAAACTGCAATACACACTTTAAATTACGTGCCTAAGGACTTTGAAAATATTCTTGATGGTTGTGACTTGTCCTTGCTTAATTGCACAAACAGGAAACTGAGTACAAATCCAGAGTTTGCGATCACGTGTTTAAAAGAACGTGCGCGTTTATTTGTTTATGTACTTATTTTTGTTAGTTTAATAAAGTCCACTTAATAAACATCTTTGTAAAGTAAAATGTTGGCGTATTTCGTTTTTTTGTACAGGCGAGAGGTGAAATGTTGGTATCTGCTTCAAATCCAGAACACATTTTGCTTCTAATTACGTAGGAATAACTCGCTCCTTCTTGACAAGCTGATAGTCGCTCAGGTAATAAAGGACTTCCCAGCCTTTAATGTTTAAAATCGTACGCTGTACGTGTTTACAGTTCTAAATCAGTGATATTCTGCCACAAAATCACACGACAGAACGTCTAATTTTTATCAGTCGTGAAAATCTAAACCTTCATTTGTTCCCGATTGCCTTTGTCTGAGAGCGGCGACAATTCCGATGGACGAATATTTGAAATGTCCGAGTAATTACGTATTAGAATGTGCAAGTTTTGTTATAAAAGTAATTTTACTCAGTATCGAACCCGTGAATAATATAATTCATAATGAAATTTTGTTGTAATGAGCAGTTTATACGTTTTTCTTTTCTAAAGAGCTTAGCTCTGAGGCAGACTTTTTTGTAACCTGACTCTTCAGTCGGAGTCCGTGCATGGAGCGTTGTAGGTTAGGAACTTCGCACACTTCCAGTGGCGTATTTCTTCATTTCTGGGCATAACGCAAACCAAAGATGACAAATGCCAGCTTCGAAATCACATACAATCCTTAAAAGATCTGATCCGTCTCTTATTATTCTATGGCATTACAGCATCGAACAAAATTGATGGATGGATGAATCACGAATGGTGAGAAGATAAGGGTTCGTGAGGTTGAGGTCTATTTTAAGGCACCATCCTGTCATTCATTCGTGGAAATTGGTATAAACGACGGAAACCTTCAACTTAGTCTTGCTGAAATTTCTACCAACTGCCTTGTAAATAAAAGCCTGGAGCTTCAATGCTAGAGCTTTCGATCCAAAACTCTGCAGTGCATAAACATTTCTGCCCCATTCAAGAAACTGGACATTTTTACAATATTAAGAGAGAAGAGACACTCATTTAAGACCCCTTGGAAGACCTATACATAAATAGAAGGATTTTGTGACTGCAAAAGAATCCTTTTAATCCGAGTCCAGAGGCTTGTTGGTTGCGTCACAGTCAACCTGTAGTTCAGGAAGTGCCACTGGCGAACTTTGACCTGTGACGTAAGCTTTGCAGTTGCCGAGTTAGGCTGCGAGTCCGATGTGTCAACAAGGAAGGCGGTGGAATTCAACGAGCGATGATTTTTCTCCTGCCTTAGAGGCCGTTGCGTGCTTTTGTAATGGATGAGGGTGACGGGAGTCGAACCCTAGTCCACTTTCGCTCCCTCGTGGGTACGACACTCAAAGGGGCCGTGTCTGAAGTGCACTCATTAAACAATTTAAATCGAACGAAGTCCTACATCGTGTGGCCTAGTTCTTTTCGTCAAACCGCGAGATAACAATTATCAGTCTTTTGCGTCCGCTGTGTCGAAGGTCATCCATCAGATGCGTGCTCTAAGCAGCGAAGGCAATAAACAAGTTTTTCTCGATGTAAACAACTTCGTCGAAAATTAAGCTCTTCTTTTGAAGATTCCGGTGTGACAATGCAGTGGCTTCTGTGTGTCCAGGGAAATGAGAGACCGAGATTCATTTCTCTGTGCCAGTGACCGAGTCGGTGTGTGAGGTTATTGTAACCAGCCATGACAAGACGCAGATTCCTCGTTTTGACTGACCGCTGCAATCAGAAGTGGCAGGCGTGAGTTTCTGCCGAAATGCATTAGCCGCTCTTGTGTTCGGAAAGTGATAACATTTAACAATTGGTCATCATCCGTACGTATTGTGATGTGAAAATATCCTCTTAGCTTGTAGAGAAAGAGTGGAGTGAAATAGTTGTTAACTAAAAACTATTTTCAAACTATTTTTGGCCATTGTTGTGGCCGGGTTACGTTGTATCGCGCCTCTGCAGAGAGGAAGTGGTTTGCCATTGTTGCCAGTTGCGATAAGTGCGATTTCATTTCAAATGGTGAGACATAGAAACTCTAAGAAACAGAATGAATCTTGATAAACGCTTGTTGATTATATGTAATGTGAGGTTAAGTCTTGGCGATAAGTCTCTTAAAGCATCAGATAATCTTTCAAATCATGGAGCATCAGCCCTCCATGAAACTAGTTGCTCTCGTCTCTCTCTCAAGTGTTTGACAACTTTTCCAAAAATTCAAAGTTGTTTCTTCATAGATTGTTGTGTTTCGTGTGTCAAGCACGTGCCTGTAGTAAACAGACAGCACGAATTTTGCCGGCAATAAGACTGAAATGTTTATTTTCTTTCATTTCCATTGTTATATTCATGACCTAACCTAAAAAAAAATGTGCATTATTTCGGAGCCAGTCGCTTTC